TATTCCTTAAGGATTACTCTACGTCTCATGCTCTATCCTTTACTCTGCCGGATTCACTGAGGTCGCTGCACAGAAGCGTAACAGCTTTGTCACAGAACCATTTTCCATTTGGATCCCATGGTTTCGGGAACTAAGTCGTCTTAATGTTATGGAACGTGTCGCTAGAACTTTTAAAAATGCCGTGCTATTTTTAAGGGCGAAATTCGCACGAAAACGTCACACAGTTTTGACAAAGGAAATAAAGTGAACGACAATGATTTTAAACAAGATGCAATTCATTAAAATGAAAGGATGAACGTCATGTAAGGGACGAATACCTTTCTATTTCTATTCATTTAACGGCATCAATGATCACTATCACTGTTATCTGGCCCATTTATTATTATTATTAGTTTTCTATTCTGTGGATCTACCTTACCCTTTTTGAAATGACGTCATGCGGACCAGATTTTCCTGTTCGTAAAATTCACCCTTTAGAAAATCTCACTCTAACATCGATTGTTGGACTCAGTTAGATGCGGTTGATATGGTTGCTAACTTTAACGTCTATTACATCTGCAACGAATCCGCAAGTGAGGCTTTTCTATTCACATTAATTTTGAAGGAAATTTTATAAATGCGTCGTTTTCTTGTTCAACAATCGCGAGGTTTCTAAACGGCATACATTTACTTCCATAGAAAAACACAATACAATACAACGCTAACTGACGTTTCGGCAGTATCGCCTTCTTCAGAGCCTGGAAGGGCATACTGATATACAATCTACTAGGCCAAACGCTTCAATGACACTTACAAAAAGACGAAAAACTCTTTGGTAATTACATGATCAACAACTTCTCGAAAAAACCCACCGCTTTTTCGTGACTTCCAATAAGGAAGTTTAGAACAGCTGATTATAGTCGCATGTGGTTGATGACTGCACCATCCCACATCGAAAATCGATGCGAGCATACGGGATCAGGTCGCGTATAACCTCCGGGCATTCCGCTTTGATATTCATTGTAGGGTTTTTGGCATTTATCCAAAAAGCCTCAAGAAGTTTTCGCGCTGGTGTTTTAGTCTTAATGCTTAAGAAGGGCAGGTCGAGAGGAATCGGTAGCAATAGTTGAAATACCACCGGATACTCTACGTCGTCAATCAGTTCGTAACCGCCTGTATGACCGTCTATGTGAAACAACAAATTGCATAATTTGCCCTTACGGCAGGGACGGTGATTGCATGAATTCAGGTACGATATACCTGATCTCTTGTAATAATTGCGGAGATGAATATATTGGCGAAACGGGCCGACCTTTGTGTATCCGTATAGAAGAACACCTAGAAGGCAAACGAAAACTAAGACAAAGTACCCCACTAAGTACGCATAGAATACAAAAGCACAGCGGAGACGATTTTGAAGTAAAAGTCAAAAGTATTCTTGCACAGGAGACTAAAACACCAGCGCAAAAGCTTCTTGAGGCTTTTTGGATAAATGCCAAAAACCCTACAATGAATAGCGGTGATAAAGACCCAGAGGTCATACGCGACCTGACCCCGTATGTTCGCATAGATTTTTGTTGTGGGATGGTGCAGTCGTCAACCACATGCGACTATAATCAGCTGTTCTAAACTTCCTCATTGGAAGTCACGAAAAAGCGGTGGGATTTTCGAGAAGTTGTTGATCGTGTAATTACCAAAGAGTTTTTCGTCTTTTTGTAAGTGTTATTGAAGCGTTTGGCCTAGTAGATTGTATATCAGTATACCCTTCCAGGATCTGAAGAAGGCGATACTGCCGAAACGTCAGCTAGCGTTGTATTGTATTGTTTTTTATGGAAGTAAATGTATGCTGTTTAAAAACCTCGCGAGTGCTGAACAAGAAAACGACGCATTCATTTTCCAATGTCGTGGTTAATAGAAAGTCCTGGAAATTTTATATTTCATAGAGATTGTCCATAAATGTCAATTGAGATCCGACTTCAGTTTAGACCTTTTGCCGTATTTTTGTTCAGCTCGATTCATTGCGTTTTTGCGAGGCCTATGTCGAATGCGCAGCCGTGGCACAGCTTGAAGAGCGACTTTGTTTAGGTAAATATTAATGTCAGTTAACAATACTTTCTTACTTAATTTTGAAAACGTTTTCAGGCAACTCACGATCAAGACCCTATTGGTTGTCTGCATTAAACGACAGAAATAACTGCCACGAAAAATTGCGGAATGATTACGCTACTGTAAGAATAAATAATTTCTTTGCTCATAATATTAACCTGGGAGCATATAGCGCAACGGCGGTGACCCTTACATTACGCCGGTGGCCTATCCAGACGTCATCACTGTGTGGTTGAGAAATTGGTACCAGACGTACCAGACTTGTCTGGAATCAGTTCACTACCTGCAATACGCGTAAGCCCTCCTTAGCACGCCTATCTAAATACTCGAGAAAGAATCGACTCGAGCAACATTCGACGACATTTGTGGGGAAAAGGAAAAATCTTCAAACGGTAGTCTACGTCGCTCGCAAAAAGTTCGAGGACCCTTGAGGATGGTGAATGTGAGGGAACGAATCAAATCAAGGAAGTGCTGTGATCGTCACTTTGTCACACATTTGATCCCGGGTCATGCAACAGATAAGTAATAACATTTACTTAGCCGAATTCATCGTTCGTCCCCATTCCAGGCCAACTGAGCCTCCTTCTTTCCTCACTGGTACAAATTTATACCAGATTTGTCTAGGAAAAGCTCATTCAGATTCACAAGTGCTGCATTACATTGATGAAGACCTGGGAACACAAAAGAAGAACTATTCAATAATTCCAGACTCTACTATCATGCAACGACTTTTGTGAAAAGAACAAATTCTTCACGTAGCCTTAACTCTGAAGTGCTCCGTAGATGACGGATAGGGACAGCTAAATAATCGCCGGGATCCACACAATGTAGCGTCAGCTCATATAAATAATAAGCGAACTAATGATATTTTAATGCTTGAGCTCTACGAATAATCCTCCGAGCCACTGCACAATTTTCGTTAGCATAACAATTTGATGGTCAGAAGGACGTTCTTTCCCTATAGCCTGAGGAGAGCCAAGAAAGGATCATTACAAGTTTGCATAAGAAGCAGCCAGCCCATGTAGACTGAATAAGTGGTTTGCCACCTTACGTCTGAGGACGGTGGTAATTCCTAGAACTCGTTTACTTGTAGCGGGATTCCTGGGTGGAAATCTCGAACTTCATCTCAACAACGGAGACCTAATCGACACCCTCACCACTCAGGAACATCTTTCAGCCACTACGAGGCCATAATGCACAGCGCGGCCGGCAACGTTTATTATTTTTCAGTTGATTGTATTTAACTACGTATTACATAAAGCTCGTTTATGTGAACCGTTAAGCTGGAAAAGATGGAACAAGACTACGATAATGAACTCACCAAATGTCTCATTTCAAATACGAAGCCGTTTTCAGACGAACAGGTGTGCTTACTTGCCCTTAATATCGCATTATTTTCCAAACAGAGCTAAAACGGCAACATTTCCTCATAGATTGCTCTTTGCTGTTTTTATGACTTCTTTTTTTTGTTTTCATTTTTTGTACTCTTTTTAATATCAAAACTATTTTCAATATACAGCCACAAGATTTCCGAGATATTTGCAAAACTCCGGACCGCAGGTGTCTGCGGTGGGGAACGAACGCGCTATTGTCCTTTCCGGGGAGTAACGCGTTCACCACCACACCATGCGAGTCCTTCGTTTCGCTTGTTTCTCAGTTAGTTCTATCGATTAGTAGGATCCTCATGGTGTGGTGATGAACACGTTAGTCCCCGGAAAGGGTAACAGCGCGTTCGTTCCCCACCGCAGACACCTGCGGTCCGGAGTTTTGCAAACATCTCAGCAATCTTGTGGTTGTATTTCGCTTAATACCCTGTCATAAAAAAACAGAAGGCAGAAAATAGAAAGTAGACATTACTTTCAATATAGTTTTATCAAAATGTTAAGCGATTCTTATTAGCCGCTGATCGATAACCATGCTGTGATTTGGATGAGACGATGATACAACTGTTTTTCTACATAATTAATAGAGATTCCGGCGACTAAAATTTTAACTGATCTGCACATTTCGTTAGCCAGGGGGTCAGAGGTCGAGTTAGGGAAATTTTTTTGGGATCATTCCATCTATGAGCATCCGATTAGCTTCTATTCGACTTAGACGACAAATGCCATTGCCGACGTTATTGAACCTAGTGTTTAATAATCTTCATTGTTACTTTTCTAATGTTCTTTCAAAACAATAGCTTATTTTCGCCTGCCGATGTAATAACCAGCTTTTCTTTTTCTTTCTCCTATACAAACGCGGTAATAATCTACCGACCCCGAGGGAACTGAGAAATCGGTGCGCCCGGAGGTCAAGGTCGAAACAGTAATTTGTTGCGTACTACAGAGCACCTCTATCCAATCCGCTACAGGAGCCCTAGAGCGAGTATAGCACACTGGCTAGAGGTGATTTGCAATGCACACGTTGTCTTTGGTTCGACTCCACAGCCGGGCTCACCAATCCTCCCATTTCTCCAGTGCCGGTAAATTGGTACTAGACTTATCCGGTAGGATACGAGTAGTGCCTTGATATATCGGTATGCTACTTTAAGTTCTTGTACAGGTTAGACATGCATTCATTCACCTCCGTGATGCTTGTCGATGTGGAATGAATGGCGTATCCATCAGGGATTGATCACTCTGGAACGCTTACCTACCGTTTAACCTTTATTCCACCAGAAATTAGCACCTCGCTTTTCATTTTGCTTTATTTTTCTAATTTTTTACTACCTTGCCTATGAGCTTAGATCTAAGATTCCTCATAGAATTCACCCTCCCACCCGTTTATAATCTTTCTCTATTCTTCATCTATTTTTGTTCTTACGTGGCCAGATTTTTAACTGATTCATTTTCTAGCATAAACTATTTTTCCCTCACCAGATACTTTTTTGTTGTAACGACTCCATAATTTCCTCTGATATTTATTATTCACAGATGGAAACTTGCGACTCGGATGCGTTGCGTTCTGCGCGGCGGTTCTCATTCGGGCGCACTATCTCCTACGTGCCAACTCGATGCTTTCAAGGCGTTGAAAATCGTCTCAAACATGAATGTGGACGACTTATAGACTGTTGCCCAACAATAGCAATGTATGTTTTGAGTTCTATTTGCTAGCTATTTTTTTGTTCTCACAAAGTGGCGCACTTGTCCAACATGCAATCATTATGAGACTGCTATTCGTAAAGTGCTCAAGTATTTTTTCGACTGAAACGTTCTATTATTCTTTCAAAAATCTTTATGCTTCTCCACTTAAATTGTCCAGAATAGTCTTCAATGATTTTTTCACTTCGAAGTAAATTTTATGTTTGAGTTGTTGTTAGCTGCACCACTGTAATCCCTGCGCGAGAGGCGCAATGCACTCCAGAATAAAGGATAAGAATAAAGATCGCGGCGTTGATCAATCCTTGAGGGATACGCCATGCATTCTACTTCATTAAGCATGGTTTGGAAGTGATTGGATGCATATCTGGCCTTTACCGCGGTGGCCTGCCGATGTATCGAGCCAGTGCTGTTATCCTCCCAGACAAGTCTGGTACCAATTTGCCGACACTGGAGGGATGGAAGGCTTGGTGAGCCACGGGCTCGGAATCGATTCCACGTGTGTGCTGCAGGGCGCCTTCGTCCACTGCACCACACGCTCCCCCCAATTCACAATTTACAGGTGCGAATCATGACAGCCATAACTTTCTTAGTAACACAAAACAAGTTTCTTTTAGTTTTAGCCTGCCTTACTATTGGTTTTCATAAGTATTTTAGGAGATATCGAACTATTTTCTGGGTTGAGTTACGCATTCTCCTCTACGAGAGTGGCCAATTGTATCAGATGGCTTTATTTTAATCACAGTATCACAAAGGAAAAAATATATGGGAACTAAGAATTTCCAAAGAGGTTCTTTTCTGCTACCACATGTTTTTCAATTGTTCTAGTTTCTGTCCAGTAACTTACTCATATAAATTCACTTACATCAAACGACCTTCTTTCTTTTGGGATCGTGTGCTAACACGCATCATCGCGACCCAGTTCGACTAGGTGGAAGTTGTTCGAACTCTTTGCAAATTTTTATCTTCGAAAAGGGACTTACTAATTTAAAATAGTGTAAGAGATTTCTGGGAGGCTTTTCCGAGAAACAAGAGCAGTTCTAATGAAAGTCCCAGCCTTATTTCATACATTTTGAAAAAGCCGAGACAAATTCTATTGTATTTCTGTCTTCTGTCTCGTTTCTAAACGTTTCTTTTTTCTAAGTTTTATCTTCGCTTGAGGTAGATTGGGAGGATTGGGAAGAGCCGGCAAGGGGAAATTCGAAAACCCGATATTTTAACTCTGAGCTCGCAGCTTACAAAGACGGTTAGGTTGAAAATTTTGGTTTGTCACACCTCGAACTTGATCCATGAGTTTCAAAACGGTTTAAGATTATTTAGATGTCAGATGACCTTCGCATCAACGGATTTTGATCCACTGTCATTCCAACATTGAAGAACGTTTCAGGTGTGATCTTGTTATGACCGAATCAACATCGAGGAAAGCCATTAAAGAATTTCAAGCTGAGATTGTCAGAAGGGCGAAGGATTGTGAGGTAATCTGGACGGCTGCATTTCGGATAAATATTTATGTCTTGATAAAGTCAACTGGTCTTGTTTCTTTAGAAAGGGCTGCAAGTCAATTCGCTGCCTTTGCCGAGAGGCCTCCTTCCCGTACAACCTGATTTCGCCAAGTGGGCGCCAAGCGGCTACGTCAGTGTACATTTCAATGAGGTCATCAGTGACGAAATTGGGAAAGGACACGGTTCGTGATTGTTAGAGATTCGACACACACGGAAAGCAGTAAGAAATTGGCAACCGAGACGATTTCTCGACAAGTTCCGATAATCCTCCGATAAATGGAACAAACCAGAATGCTTTTAAACAAAAGAAAATTCAATTCACTGAATTCTGCAAGGAGCCAACTCATTGTCGCTCCAAGAGGACACTTTTCCAAGCTGTTTTTTTTTTATTAAAAGCCTGCTTAAAGGTTGGACTTCAGAAAATTTTAAAAATTTTATTTTTTGAATGCTCTAAAGCAACCCTGGTCGACAATGCAATTAGAAGGGTTGAATGACTTGCGAGCTTCGAAAAGCTTGAAATCGTGATTCCATTGGATTTTACCCCAGTTAATAAACTATTATAATAGCTAAGAATATTTGCCAGAAGTTAGGAAGAAAACTACCCAAAAACGCTCGTGAATTTAAATCAATGCACGTTCTCTATTGTATCAGTAAATGATAAAAAAGAGTGTTAACAGTATAGACAGTTCGGGAACCTCCTATTTAGCTCTGCTTTGGCCTGCCCTGTTGAGAACACAGCACTAGAGGACTTTCCCGGAAATTTTCCTACAACAGCGTCTATAAAAATGTAGAAAATGCTTTTTACTGAAGTGAAGACTATGGCCACCCCCCACCATGATCCATGTTTTGCAGTTTCCATGGCTTTTCACAGAAAAATGGAAACACTATGAACTAACTAATTTGGTTAAATTTTCTGGAAAAACGGAATTGCGGGGGAGTTTCGTACCGGATGATCGGAGACGTACCTGATAGTTCCTTGAGGAAATAAGCGATTAGCATGGTTTACTGTGTTGGTTGGTACCGACCTTGCTTGTTGAAAGTGCTGGAAAAGCTCTTTATAAGTATTCTTCTTAGTCACACAACACATGTTCTGTTACGAATCGAACAATTTTGACAGCGTTAAGTTTTGATTTACTGTCTATTGCAATTTCTCACGTCATGGTATTATGTGTGACTCAACTACATTGATGCTGAGATATTTAACTGGGTTCATTGCCGATTTGAGCTCCACAGACCAATCCCATTGACGGGTGACTGCTGATGGCACTGATCGATAGAACTAGCTGAGAGACAGACGAAGCGAAGGACCCACAGGCTGTGGTGGTGAACGCATTGGCCCCTGGAAAGGGTCATAGTGCATTCGTTCCCAACCGCGAGCACCTACGGTCCGGAGTTTTGCAATTATCTCAGCATCAATATTTTGACAGCTTTTTTTAATGAACTCTCCGTTCTCGAACTCACTCGAAATTTATTAAGAAGCGTTTTAATGTAAATAACAAGTGATTTCACCGTACTGGACGAACTTTTGAACTCTGTCTTTACAATTTGGTATATTCCACACAATATTTGTGAGCAGCCGACGTGCAAACACCAGCCCATTAAAAAACTTTCTACGAACATTCTGGAAAGCTTCTTCCAATCGTCAACGATATCAGCGAAGCAATTCTTTTTGTTATAGTTGGGATGATCAGAAAGTCGTTCCGTAATAAACCAGAATAACTGTTTGGCATTTGTGTAGATAAGAAATTTTTCCAAAGCCATCGTTTCAATTACGATGTAATGGTTTCTTCGAAAAGAAAGTAACTAATGAAGCTGTTCAGGGTCAGAAGATCTATATCAATAAAAGATGGATAGTAAGAGAAATCATGTAAAAAGAGAAGAACAGTACACAAAAGAACTAATCCTGAGTTGTTGAGACCACATTTCTCGACCGAATCACGGGCAGGAACTGCTTGTAAGTGGAGTTCAGTAGAAGATAAAGCAGTACAGATACCGTTTTTAACAGTAGCGACGTAAGTGCAGCTTTTTGACTAGAGAATAGACCAGTATTTGCAATTTAGGAAAATGCATGTCGGGATTTAAATTATAGCATGATCGGATTATGTTCCTAGAACATTTGACCATATGAGACAATGAGAACGTTGGAGTGAATCGAAGGAGACCGGAAATGTCCCGAAGTAACTGAGCTAATGGATTATCCATTAACTCGGATTTACAGGCAACAATGGATTGAGATGATCAGCTGCTGATCCCTTCTGCACCAGGTTTACTTGCTCCGAGCAACTGAAATAACTAGGTCTAACTATACCATGTGTCAGTGTATAAGTGAATTGTATCTCTCACGACAAGTAAGCTTCATCTCTAGTTTTGAGCCCTCTACTGGCTACCCTGTAAGGATTTTTCCGGAAATACTGCGTAGGTAAAGAAGTATTTGCGAAAATTATAATGTTGTTCGTGTTTCTCGAGCTAAGCCCACTGAGCATTTCCATTGCGCGGCTGAAGAACGAAAAATTTACTAGTTCCCGCTCTAGACCTTACATGTTTAGTTGTAGGTGGCAGACATGATAAAGTTTGAAAGCAAAGTATAAAACTTTGTTTCTGTAACTGAAACATTATAAAGCGCATAAGAAGAAGTGAACACGAAAATATTCCGCTTTTTTTGTTACGTGCACCATTCATAGGGTTTAATTCAGACTTCGAGGACAGTCACACCATGGTTTCTTTCACCATCAAAGAAGAAGAGGAATATGATCGGAGGAAATCCGCCGGAACCCAGAATGATGTCGCTGGAAATCATGAAAGCCACGCAAAGGTTGTAAAAACATTTTTCTTTTGTAGAAGAAAATAGTTTACTTTATTTATTTTCTCACGTTTGACCCATCTTAACATCTACCGTGTGGATTCCAGCACTTTTCACATTCGTTCGCATCCACTGTCCACGAAAATCTTTCAACCTTTTAAATGTGGCTTTGACTGCTGCTTGAGGATTTTCATTTTATCTTGGATGTCGTAGAATGCTGGTCGAGAAATTCTCCCTAGAGTCCTGAGATAGCCGGGCTGGAGCGTTCCCTATTGGATCGCAGAGAGCGATTTATTCCCAGACAAGTCCGATACCAATTTGCCGACCCCGGATAGATGAAAGGCTTGGTTGGACCGGAGCGGAATCGAATTAGCACCATGCTCGTGACAACGGGCTTCACTACCACTGTGCTATCCGCCCTCTGAACAACGTGATTAGTGATCGCTACCAAGGGTTTTTTCCAGCCTCGATTGTGCAATTTATAAACAATATTTTTTTTCTTTTCAGTGAATACTTTTTCCTATTCATCGATTTAACATCTATGCTACTTGACGGTTTAATTAGTGCAATCATATATTTGTTTATATAATCTAAAGAGCTCCTGTCACGTCTGCAAATGAGCAATTCAAGATTGGCTAGCAACATCAAGCAAAAGTTGAGTTAGGCAAGGGAGAGAAACATTTGTCTGGGCTGTTTGCTTCCTAAACAACCAAAAAAAGAATTAGAGGTGTCTATTTAGGAAATGATGGCGAGCCAAACGGAATAACCTTTGTTCTAATCGCTTTCAGAATTCGTTTCCACGACTTTCTCATCGCAGAGGTGACCAACAGAGCAGTCAACCAATCATCAAGGACGGACTGGTTACCCTCTCCAATAGATCGGTATTATCATTTCCGGACAATGACACGACGGTTAGTCCTAATTTGAACAGTACCATTTAAATATTAGATAATGACCTAAATGCTATAGGAGGAAATGAGCAGGAAAGAATGGGTGGGGAATATAACTTGGAATCGTCGTGCTTTCTTATATTGAAAATGTTACTCAAATTTCCGATAGCGGGTAAATTTGCTAAGTTAGGCGGCGGCTTATTTTATGAGGTGCTTGAAGACACTTCTACTTGAAAGTTCGACAGCAGGTTTTGCCTGTCTTAATGTCATTTTCATTTTGAATCTTATTAATTGATAACTCAACATAGGCGTAACCGTTACCGAAGATTCTATGCCATTTTGAACTATCACATTATCGAAACTTTCCGAAGAAAAGCTTATTAAAACCTCACTATCCATTCAACAGTAGCACTCAGCCCAAACGCTGTGCTGATCATTTCGGCGCTCAGTGGGTAGCAAGAATGGTGGCTCGAATTTACCGCTCGTCGATTTCAATTCATTCATTCCTGCGCCTTTAATCTTGCTCACCGTGCTATGGAATGTTCCAGAAATATTCTTGACTCTATAGTGACATTGAAAACCATGTGAATGTGGAAGAATGAAAAATTTTTAGCACTACTCGTCCTTCACATCTACTGCGCGGATTCCAGCATTTCTCGCATTTGATTTGTATCCTTCCACGTATGCATCACCCACCAAGGTCTTCCAACTTTTTACGTATAACTTGGGCTGCTGATTGAGGATTTTCGTTTCCTTATAAATGTCGTTGAATGCAGGTCGAGTCGACTCTTTATGAAGTCCTGAGATAGATGGGCTAGAACGTTCTCACTTGGATTGCAGCGATCGACTTTCTCCCTGAAAGGTCTGGTACCAGTTTTCTGACCCCGAGGGGATGAGAGGCATGGCGGGCCCGGAGCGGAACCAAAACAGCACCGTGCTCGTGCCGGTCGGCATCAGCAAAATTGTGCTATCCTCCCTCTGAGCCAGTTCAGATTAGGACAGATCAGACAGGAAAAGAAAGATGGACTTAGTTTTTCTTGGTGACATAAACACTCAGCCGAACATGAAGACTGTCTTCAACGCACTCTACAATGGTGAGTACTCTCACCACATCAGGATCTCCAACGCCTTCGGTCAACGTATCAGATGTACAATCAAGCTGACCAACATGAAGCATCTTGGTATCGACCCGACTTGCGGTATGCTCGACCCCAAGGATGAAAGGAAATATGAACAAAAAACGGCAAACACTTGTTCTAACTTGGTACAGAAAATATGATTACTCATTTCAGCACAACTGTCCTTAACAAGTTGAAGAAGATTCAGCTAAAAAAACAAGAATTTACTAATACGGTATTTCATTTGTTTATAGACTGCGAATAAAGAAAAAAAAACGTGTATAGGCACTAGACGCAACATATAAAACCTGATGACCATGGATTATTTAGGGCGTTTCGGCCAACAGTAGTGTCTTAGAGGCAAACACTCATCAAAACAAGAGCGAATCGAAGAAACATGAAACAGAAAAATCTGTAGAACGTTATGAAGAAGAGCAAGCACCAAAGAATACGAACTGGCACAAGGAGACAGTGCAAAAAAAGAGCACAGGCGATGCTGTTCGTGAGGAACACGATGGCTTGCTCACACCTAGACAGGTCGGTTCGAAAGTGCGGGCTCCTTTCGAAACGTTCTGATTCTATTCCCATTTTTGCCGATGTTTTTATTAAGTTGTTGGTATAACAACTACACTTAACTCCGTGTTGAAAAAGTTCAGTAGTCTCCTAATACAGGGCGCAGCTGATATCGGTGACACACGAAAGGTTGCTCGGTCGGAATCACCACTCATCGTCGGGAGTGTCGAGCCGGCTGAGCCAACAGCATCAGGATCAGTGCGAAGTCTGGATATTTTCCCAGACGAAAACGGCCACCTGCGTGATGCACAAATTGTAACATCGGCTCCTGTAATTATTCTTGCGAATGATAGCGGTTCAGAGGTTCGTACATATATTCAGCTGTTTTTTCCTCTTTCCGACCACGAGATCTTATTGGTTGCCTTCATTCGCCTCCAAACACCACTTCGATAGAATTTCAACACAATTTTATTCTGACCGATTCAGTAAAACTTTCGTCCAACACTTCAATTTCGGACTTTTCCCTATCGCCTTAGTTGATCCGACAAGAATCAACGTCATCATTGATATCATTCCTACTTTTGCGTTTTCTTTGGCCAAGTTTCTTCTTTTTATCGAAGTGTCATTTTCCAAAGATGACAGACTGTATAGAACATAGTCACTTCAGGGCGTAGTTGCAGATTCTCCAATCGACACCGTCATGTGAGGAACAGTACTTCCAGCACCAAGCAGTTAAGCTTCAAGTGATCCTCTCGTTATTAGGCGAAACAACAAATTCCAGTGATATGATTCAAGTTAGCACAACTTTTAAACGTTCAAGTATTTTTTATAAATATCGCATTTTTGGTTAGTTATTCACAATTAGCCGCTCTACTTGCATTGTTTTTGATAGATCCTTTTTCACTTCAGATCAAGAACATGACTAATCATTGGTATAGCAAAGTCAAAATGCTTTCAGAGGGTGAGAAAGCCACCAAACTAGAGGTAGATTTTTTTCAGGGTGCTATGCACCAAATACTTAAACAGTTTTTTTCCATATCTATTGATCGTTAGATGTTAACTTGTCGACCTGCAGCTGTTGAGTACTGCCAGTCAATTCATGCCTGTGAGCCATAAAGTCTTCCTCTTATGTCACTGCTCTCTTTCATTTAAAGCGGTCATGATATTAATTCTGTCATTTCAATCGATTTGACAGTGCTTTTATTCGTGCTAAAGTTCGCATTTCACACTTCAGATTCTGGAGATCTTGACAGAGTTAATTAATCATTTCGACCAAGTCAATCTTCAGCTGATCAACTCCAGTGTACATACAGGTGAGCCTCATCGCGTTCGGAACTGATCAATCTCTCACACACATGTCATATATTCAGATCATCGTAAGTGGTGTTGAATAGGTTTAACCTATACAACAATGTCCATCGGCCTATTGATAATCACGCCATTACTTTTGTACTCTCACACAAGTATAGTTTCCACCATCTTGGAGAGTTGGTGGGCTTAGTTTGCATGGGGTGCGCGATCGAGCCAGCGACATGTACGTATCAGCAAGGCAGCCGTGCTCTACACGAGCCCTAGTTATTTCATATAGAAATAATCTTTGTTAATGAAATTAAACAGTCTATGATTATCAATTTAATGTTCAGAATCAAAGATCAGTCACTGATCCCAGTGTTTTTTGACCCGAATATGCCACTTCACCTTTCCATTTTCTCCATCTCTGATAAAAAAGCATAGAAGGATACAGCTCTCGGCGTTGATCAATCCCTGAGGGAAGCGCCATGCATTCGACTTCATTAACCATCGTTGGAGGTGGTTGAATGCATAACTGGCCTTTACAATGACTCGCAGTGGCCTACCGATATATCGAGCCAGTGCTGCTATCCTCTCAGACAGGTCTGGTACCAATTTCTCGACCCCGTTTTGGCTGTCACTTGAGGGATGGAAGGCTTAGTGAGCCACAGGCGCGCGGGTCGATCCCCTGTGTGCTGCAGGGTGTCTCTGACCACTGCGCCACACATGCTCTCCACAACACCATACTGACTGCTAATCTATTGACCTGTTTTTTGTTAAACAACTGATTTTCTAAATGCCGCTGTTTATAAAATTCAGCACCCAACTACATCGAACCAGGAGCGAATGGCGTTCGGACCTCTGCAAAGGAATGTTATCCACTGGAAGCGAAAAGGTTGACTAAAAATCGTGTTGAGAACGTTAGAAAAGGTGCGAATTGACGACGTACGTTCGATGATTCTTGGAAGGAATGAAGGACGCACATTTTTGTTTTTCAGGGAAACCCATTGCAAAGCATAAGTTTGACCGCGCCAATGTAACGCACTTGACCGATGAGAACGGAGACCAAATTGCTATTGAAGGTAAATGTTATCCATTGAAAATCACCACTCACTATCCAGACTCTAAAAACTTAAAACTTTTCCGGTTTCTTTGTGTTTATAATATCCAATTATCTATTTGTTTATATGCACCGGCATCACTTATGTGCGAACCCCAGCCGCTAATTAACTTTGTTCGTTGTCTCACTTTCAACGTCAACGATGCTCCTCGAATATGTGTATACATTCAGCTGTCACTTGAGGTCTCTGTCTTTCTCACAAACGTCGTTAACTGGTAGTCAAGGTGCTTCTTCTTAAAATGCTAGCGTCATAGTCGTTTGCCTTATTTAGCGAGAAGGAACTTTTACTAAACAACCTGTTGCCATATGTTCTTATGAACCGATCTTGTTGAGCTATTGAGTAGCTGATACAAGTTTTCGTTGCCTTTGCTACTGGTGCTGTTGGTTGATTGCTGACGTTTCGGCGATTTCGCCTTCCTCAGAGCCGTGCAGTTACGAGTGAGACTCATCTGTTATCAATTCGTTGATCTCGCACGCTTAGGAAACTCGGCGATCTCAGTATAGGGTCGAGTTCAGAACCAAACGTTCATGACGCGGTATTTCTAGTCACTGCGGCGTCCCTGTCCTCTATTTTCTTTTTTTATTAAGTTTAGAAAAATGACAAGCGAACTCTTTATATTTGATACTTGAATGGCCGGTCCTCACTAGTTGTGCGGGCTCCAGCATAATTTCCATTTTTCGGAAATTTCCTGGTTAACCCATTGTGATTCCCTGGAATCCCGGGGTCGGTCTAGCCAAAGTTTGCCCCAGGTCTTCACCGCCACAGGCAGTCGCAGTTCTTGTGGATCAGGGGGAGGTTTGCAGCGATTTGTTGGTTAAGCCATTGTGGTTGCCTGAAATCCCGAGGTCAGCCTGGTCACAGTCTGCACCAGGTCGTCACCACCACAGCCACTCGCCGCCGTTGTGGAACAGGGAGAGATTTAACACCATGCGACTTTGATATCAGGACGGTGGTGAATCCTGGTATTCGTTTACTCTTAGCTAGGCTTCTTGGTGGAAACGCCGGACTCCTTCTCAACATGGGAGACCTTGCCAGGGGAATGAATCCTCCTGCTGTACATCGCAGCCCGACACCCAGAAACACCTCCCAACTGCGAATCTCTGTATTGCTGGTATAAATAGCTACCTTAAATCTCTGACAACTTTAGGCACGAAATATTACAGTTCAGATAAGGTAAGAACGTTCGAAATTAATCTATAATAATGTTCTTCTTGGAAGCTTCAGCAGACATACCGTGTATTGGTCTTTCGTGGATTCGTGAATAAAAAGCTGTTCGACGACTGTACGATGCTGCAAAATTTCCATTGTCTAGAAGAATGATCGAACAAGCGGGTATATGTGCGGAAGCTGAGCAATAGTAAACTGATTAAGCATAACGATCGACTCGGTTTCTTTATCAGTTTTTTTTGTTAAGAAACGTCATTATTTTCATAGTTTTGAAGCTGTGAAATATGGTATATGGTAATAAGTCGAAGCTTTGAGATTCCTCTAACTGAAAATATACTCTTATTCCATTTTTGATGATGTTAGGATTTCGATTTCATAAAAAAATTTCTCAGCATTTTTAAATGTTCTTCGAAATTTTAAGACGGAATGGAGAGGTTGATACTCTCTGGCATCAGTGGAACTATGGGAATGAGTGTTGACAGCGGTGGAATAACTACTGAGAAAGACGAGTTTGTCAGTAAGCCAAGCGATCAGAAGGATCTCCACAATACCTGGATGAAGCAGGGCTATAAACTAGAGATGCAGAAGAAGAAAAATAAGCTCAACGGCAATTCACCTAACCGAGGCGTAAGTTCATATGAAACGCTTCGTCTTTTTCATAACTTTGTGTTCGTTAAATGAAACTAACGTAGAATTTCGTAAACGTGCAACCTACACGAACTGGAGTTGGAGCGAACCCTCGATTTTCTCTATTTAGAGAAACGAAACTTCTTGCGATCTATACATGCGATGTCGTAACCAAATGCATCTTGCTGTCGACAGCTGTGCTTGGCGATTCGCTAACGGCAAAATACTTCCCACTTTAGCGGAAAGTGCCGAAAGCCTCCTTTATAAGGTGCTATTTCTTCAACATTTTGGTCTTTGAAAAAATTCCCTCGGCTTAAGGTCATCGTAAATGTGTGGGAGATTTCCAACAGTTTTAGAAATCTCCATCGCCGAATCCACAAGGATTTGGCGCAAAACTTACCTTCCATCTGTTTACGAGCCATGGAAACCTTTAAAAGAATCTTGACTGCTCAGCAAAAACGCCTCATGCATATGTTAAAGGAGAATGATGAGATTATGTTTGGTGAAGGCAGAAATCGGAGAGCTGGAAGAGAATCAGAAAAACACAAACTTGTAAAAATTTTAAAATAGAAGTCTGCAACCAAAAATGACAACGGCAGAGTAAGGTAGAAGTTTTTCAAACGAGTTTTCTGCACCACTAAAGCAGTTCCTTTAGTCAAAACAAGAAAAAAATGCTCTTGCATTCCATACTGCTCAGTGTCGTTCTGCATGAATGAGATTTATCATATTTATTTTAAATTTCGCCATCATCCACAAAGGTCTTCGAACTTTTCGCGAATGTGTTTAGCTGCTGCTTAAGGGTTTCGTCTTCTTTACGAATGTGACAAAATGCTGGTCGAGACCATTCTCGCTGGAGTTCTGTGATAGCTGGGCTAGAACGTTCCGAATTGGACTGAAGAAAATCAACTGTACCCATACAACTGTGGTACCAATTTCTCGATTCCAGAAGGAGGAAAGGTTTCGTGAACCTGGAGCGGGGTTGTACCAGCACCGTGTTTGTGATGAACGGCATCATTGTGAGTACGCTACCTGTACTCTTCAGCGGGTAATCAGTATCATCAACAAGTGTTCCGCACAAAAGAATATCACTGGGTGAGATTGCCTCATTCGAGCGGTACTCCACTTAGAAACATTCAATTCGATACGACGACGAAGACCCTACATCGAGAAGACGAAAGACTGCAGACAATCCGACGCGGATCGTAGGCTCTGAAAAAGATGAAGACTTCGAAATGTCAACCGAATAAATCTTTTTATCAACCTCGTGGTTGCTTATGATAAAAGAATGTATACTTCGTCTTCTTGCTCATTAATCGCGAGGTTGTTAAACAGCATACATTTACTTCCATAGAAAAACACAATACAATACAACGCTAGCTGACGTTTCGGCAGCATCGCCTTCTTCAGAGCCTGGAAGGGTATACTGATATGCAACCTCCTAGGCCAAACGCTTCAATAACACTTACAAAAAGACGAAAAACTCTATGGTAATTACGTGATCAACAGCTTCTCGAAAAAATGTATGTGTGCTGTTTAACAGCCTCGCGATTGCTGAACAAGAAAACGACGCATTCATATTCTAATGCCGAGGTTAATATAGAGTCGATCCTGAGAATGTATACTGTTTATTAATGCCGAGGTTAAAAAAAAGTCGGTTTTGAAATATACTTCGATGGTTAGAATTCTGGACGTCAAGACTCCAGTTTCGACAAATCTACATCTACGACTCCAAACTCGGACGTTCGCATCGCAAAAAAAGTCGAAACAAGTGGACATAGATTCTAAGGAATATTTACCTAATTAACAGTACAACATTAGTTTGAAAAGGCTCATCGTGGCGAATTCGACGAAGAGCGAGAGGGAGATCGCGGACATCCTTCTGCCACTGACGAGGGTGATTAAAAGGCTCTCATGCAAACGAATACGTACGGAAGTGTCCGAAAACCTGCAGAAGAACTTAATGCAAGCATGTTAATTATTTGGGAACATCAAAAAAGCATGAAATCGAAGGCGTTCGCCAAATGAAGGCAGCCCGAATTGAATGGTCCTGTTACAGTACGAGGCCACACGTTGTACAACCTATTCTGGGAAGGGCGAGCGAGATGGACTACGAAACTCTGCCTCATCCATTATACTTATCCAGTTCTTTGCCTATTGTCTATCAATTCTCCAAGCACCTCGAAGACTTCGTGTGCGAAAACTATAATACTTTAGAAGCCAAACCGATTCCGTGGCAACCTCATCGACTTCGTCTCCTTCGCTTGAAAACTAAACTAACTAAGTAAACTTATTGAACGGACCTCGCCCTACAAAATGTGGAGCTTTAAAAAAAAGTTTTGTATTTTAAAACATGATTTACCATTAATAAAATGATTTCCCAAAAACTTTTAGTACATCGAGGTTGCATCCAAAACCAACGATGATTTAGTTTCTAGCACTTAGTTGGGATTTAAATGGCACTTCTTTAGTGGTGGTATGGACTCCAGCATCATTTCCATTCGTTTGCTACTCGCGGAATCATCGTTCAAGATAGTAGTCAGCTTCGAACACGGTGACGTCCACAAAACCCATTCCGAATTCCTAAAATCGACCCCACCCACGAATGCAGATAGTTGATATTAGCCACGAACACGTCCACTCATCGTTTGAGTGGTCTTCCAGAGGCACACTTGAATTCTCTTGGAGTTCACGCCACTCTTCTTTTCGTCTATCTGTCATCTGTTCTTGTTATTATATGACCAGCCTATCTATGCTTCGCTATCGATGTATAGTCTCCTGGATCCCTGAAATGGGATAGGTTTCGAAGGTATGATCTGCGAATTTCGGCTAGACGTTGTGAGTGCCGGTCAAATTTCGGAAAACACCGTTCAAACGCTCTGTAGGTGGAGCGTAAATTTCTCAAAGTGGTTGAAGTATTAGCCCATGTCTCTGCTGCATAATAAAGCGCTGGCGGTACTTGCTGAATAGAAAGGATGAGCGTGGAGTCCTGGATCTGTTAGTTACTCGACGCTTTTTTTGAGAGGCTCAAATGCAGCCTACTACTCTACTTCTTCTGTCTGATCCCTCCTTTATGCCATTTATCGTGTTCATTGAGCGTCTAAAGTAATTGTGGTCTCTGTGATCATTGAACCATCCAGTTGGACTTGTTCGCCTTCGCACCATGGATTCTTCACGATCTGGGCCTTCGTCGTATTCATGCGCAATCCAATCTTTTTCCCGCTTCTTTAAGTTTATTGGGCATCGCTATTTCACTGGTACTTTTCGAAAATATAGCGACGTTATCTGAGAAACGAAGATTTGGTAGGAAATTTCCAATAATACGCGTATGCTTTTTTTCCTAATCGAGTGATTTTATTATCCACTGCAGTGAAACACTAGACATGTTTTGTTGCCTTGTGGAAGCCCTTCTCCTATGAGTATGGTGAGGGTCAAGGAATAAGACTCGTTTATTTTACTGCGCTTAGCATTTGATACCCACTTGTAGCCTGCTAAGCTCTAAACATAGGATTGGGTATACTCAGTTGGCCCGACTCTTTGGGCAGACTAAGGATAATATTTGCTGGAGCGGACCTCTAACCGCCTTTCAAATACTTCTCTGTTACATGATCCAGACTCTTGGCTGAATTGACTTGTAGAACACAGTCTGTATAAATGAGAGCACACTACACGCATTCATGAATATGTCCTCGTAAATATAGGTATGTGCTAGCTCGGCAGAGCAGAAACACGGAGTACATCCACTGGATCCACCTGCCTCTCAGAAAAGCAAAACGTCGCTTTTGTATCGAGGCTGACCCCCTATCCGTCACCTGTGCATGCGCCATGTTGCCTCGCGACTAAACGGCATGAGAACCCTCTACGAGAGAAGGGACGTCAACACCCGGAACAGAATACGTAATCGTATAAATGACAATCGATGCACAATAGCGTTTAGTGACTAGATTCCTCGGGATGTCAAAGATACTCTAGGAAGATTACCAACTAGATGGTCAAACTTCTTCACGAAAACCATAGGAAGATATTATGCTCAACGAACCTCTAAAGCGAGCAGAACCCACTGGTCTACTTTTGCATGCGTAATCGCGGCTAGGAGATGTTCCTCGGTGCCGGGCTGCGATGTGCAGCTGGGGGATTCATCCACCGGTAGGGTCTCCAAAGATGAGAAGGAGTCCGGCGTTTCAATCGGGAAGAAAAAGTAACAGTAAACCAGTAATAGGATCCACCACTGTCCTGGTATCAAACTAGTTGCATGGTGGTAAATCTCTCTAATCCACAAAGGCGGCGATTGCCTGTAGTGGTGGCGACCTAGGGCAGATTTTTGCCAGGTTGACCTCGGCGCTCCAAGGAAACAGTGGCTAAACCAATAAAACTCCGAAAAATGAAGAATATGCTCGGACCCCGCACAACCAGTGAGGATGGGCCGTTCAAGTATCCAAGTAGATATATATATACATATGTACATGCATATACATATACATATGTATGTATATATATGCAAGCACATACACATACACATAGTCTTTCAGTTGCAGTTTTTGTGTCAGAAATTTTAATTTAGAATTTCTAAAGAATCTTTTTATTTACATTTTCTCGGATTTTTCACTTTAGACTTGAGATTAGCAATTAACCTGCCACAAGTTTAGGATACTAACTTGGTGGAATAGAAAAAAAAAGACACAAAGAAAAAACCTGTATTTCCTTCACAGACATGCAGTTGTGAATGATAATTCCTTACAGTATTCTAAGCAACGACTATCAGTTAAAGGTAAAAATAAACTACGCTTTTCATGGAAAGCATTAAAGGTTTTTCCTCCATGGATTATGAAGAAATTGTTATGTTCACATGACATCCCTAGTTATTCTCATGCTTTTTCTTTTTCAAAGAAGGACCAAAGGGAAGTTAATTATAGTTTCCTTTAAATATCACACCCTATTCGCATGCGATTAGAAACGATTTCAAAAATACAGTAACCGTTTGTTCAACTTTTATTGGAGGTTGTAAAATATCATTAGGCCAAGGATTCAATGATATACCATTCTTAATAGATAAAAACATGCCTTTGGTGACTCGATGCACATCCTTGCCAAAAGAGCGCTCCATCCTACCAGGGTCGGCAAACTGCTACCAAAGCTCTCCAGAATTGTAAAAGCACCGACTTTTACATCGATAGGCTCCATATGCCACTGCTTTGTCAAATATGCATTTGATCACCTCAACGATGTCCTGAAAACTCGAATGCATAGCACATCGCTTGGGGTCTACTCAACACCTATACTGTACTTTTTTCTTATTTCTGA